AATATTTAAATTTTACAAATTTTAAGGAGTAATCATTTGAGAGAGGGTTGAGACGGAAAAAAATTTTCTTCTAACAAAATAAACCATTTATTTGTGCCTAAAAGTAGCTAAAATTTAAGAATCCTACAGCTACTGGTCTAGAAGAAAAACTTCATCATGTTAGATGAAGCAAACCGAACTGACGGACGGACAGAGTGAAACTAATAAGCACATTTTTTCAAAATTTTTATTTTTGGAATTTTAATAAGAGGGTGCTTTATATTTCTGTGATGTTTTTTTGTGCTGTTTTTTTTTTCTTTTTTAATTTTTATTTTATTTTATAAAAGAGGCATTTGATTTGATTAAGTGTACCGTTTACGCTTTTTAATTTTTTTTTTAATAAAAATAAAATAACAATAATGAAAAGAAGCAGCAAAATAGAAAGAGAAAGAAAAAAATTGAAAATTAAATTTAATGAAGAATTAAAAATTAAAATTATATAAAATGGAAAAAAAAAGTGGTTTTTTAAAAAATTGTTAGTAGAGTGCTTCTGTATACGCTTCCATATACTAAATTTAAGTGCTATTTTAAAAAAGTATCAACAGTTTCGTTTTTTGAGGATTGTTGACATTATTTTCTCTATAGCTACTCGTTTACTTTTAATAATGAAAATTAAAAAGAAATTTTGTTTCCACTTTAAATTTATTATTTTTTCCTTGTTATTCTAAAGTAGGTATATATTGGCATTATACGATAAAATAACCAAATTCTGAAAAATGTTAAGTGGGTATGAATAGTTCACAATTATCTATGTCTGTATCTTTGAAATGTTATGTGATAGCCTTTTTATTAGCAAATAAATTTTGAAATTTCGTAGAATTTTGTAGTCGTTTATTTATTATTCTTATAAAATTAGAAAAAAAATAAAAATTTAAATTAAGTGTACAAAATTTTAATTTTTTAAAAAAGGTGACAAAATTTTCACAACTCTCACGTCTTACTCTCGAATAACACGTTATGCATAGTGTTTAACTACAAATCGTAAGGTTAAGGCTACAACTAGATAACTCGAAAATATTTTATTTTTAGATAATTGATTTAGGCATTATAAAATCGAATGCTCTGACATCTGCGACCAATATCTAAACTTAAATATGAATATCGAAATATCTGAAAATGATAATGCCAAAACTAGATGTCTTCGTAATAAATTATTTGTTATTGCCAAATTTTGTAAAGGCAATATCTTTAAACCAATAGGAAGAGAAGAAGAGAATTGGTTTACTATAAAACAAATTTTGTAATTGCCGCACAACCATGAGAATAGATCACTAATATGAACTCTAATTAAATCTAGTTAAAATGAACAGAAATTAAAAGTAATAAATTTTTTCCTAGTATTTTTTCGAAACACATTTCCATTTAATTAAATACGGATACCCGATACGGATAGGGATTAGCAAAATTCATTCAAATTCAGAAAGAGTTTTCAAAATTCAATCCACTACACTAGTCAGTAATTAATTAATTATGTTTAAGGTATGAATTTATTAAACTATTAAAGCCAGACGAATAATTTTTTTAATCAAAAACTTTTTAATTTTTCATCATCAAACATATTGTGAGGCTAAATTAATGATGGGACATAACTATAAAAGAAAACAAAATATTCGTCAAATATGAAAGAAAAACTACAAGAAAGTACCAAAAATATTGCAAAAAATTAAAAAAAAAAAAATTTAATAAATTACCATAATTTTAGCCTTACAATAACAATTTGTAATGCAATTAAAGAAAAGAAATAAACGTTAAGTATCCATGAAGCTTTTTTTATGTATGGTAATGTTACACTTCATTTATGCATTTATCATACCACATTTTATTATTATTGTTATACATACGTTATTTTCTACATTAACCCTATACATACACTCATATATTATGTGGTATATTAACACATATATGAGGAGAACAAATAAATATAAAGTAAAAATCATTTACATTACTGTACCCATTCCAATAAAAATATTGAATATTTTTCCATACTTCATATAAAAAATATGCATATAATATGTAAACAAGTATGCAACACAATAATATAGTAGGTATGTATGTATACCTATATTATATTCAAGCTCATATTATAACTATCATTTGCTTACATAGCTTGTGAACAAAACAAAACCAGATTAACCCTTTACTCTCTTTACTCCTTTTTCAACAAATTTTTTTTTTGTTTTTTTTATTTTTCGGTTGATTCATTCTTTTCGCTCAAGAAGATGTATGGATTCTTAAGAACTTGATTTTTTATTTTATGCCTTTTTATACACACAAATAAATTTATATACAAACATACAACTTTTCCTAAAAAAACAAAAAAAAAAAACAAAATAAATTAAAAAGACTTGTGCTAAAAGAAACCGGTTTTTCCTTCTATTCATTTTATTTTTTTTTTGTATTTTTATTTTAGCCAGAATTTCTACTTAGTCAAATTTGTTAAAAAAATATAAAAAACAAAAAAAAATAGTATAAGAAAGGTAAGGAAATAACAAACAACATAACATCATTACTCTCTCCTCTTAGTTACGGAATTACAAATTTTTACTATTTTTTATATCTTACCTTTTCCAAGATATTTTTTTTTGCGGCGAATTCGAGCATAACAAATACTACTTACCATATCCTTTGTTGATAATTTTCTTCTCTCTCAAAAATTTTTTCTCTTTTTCCGGCAACTCTCTTTGAATTTAATTTTTGATTTATAGAGAGCAAAGTGAATGAGAATGAAAGAAAAACAATAATACTGGGGCATTCTCTTCATTTTTCTGTTTTGTTGAAAATGTTAAATGAAGTTGAAAATTGGGGGTTACACCACGTGCTATCGTATTAAAGTGACCATGATTTAGTTTTTTATAAGTGTGTACCTTGCTCAAGAATATTATTACGTTATTTGATTTTGATTATTATAATAACGTAAAATTATATTAGCATGAAATATATTTTGAAATCATTTCTAGTTTTTCTATTTGATTAAAATTAATATAAGGAAATGGAAAAGGGTTAAAATTTGCAATATCACTTCTATGATCTACTCGCAATAAATCTTCTGAGTTGTAAAATAGGAATCTAAACTCTCGAAGCGTTGGCAACAGCGTTAAACTTGTGATTGCCAGGATTTTTTTCCCTTCCAGTCTGGTATTGGTTACGTGTAGTCTGTGTTATCAGATCTCGGTCCATTATCACTGTACGACTTAGGGGTTTAATAAACTTATTAAATTCCCGAATTTAATTAAATAATTTATTAATTTATGTTTTTCAAAAAAAAAAAAAACAAATGATTCCACTTCGGACTATCTGGCCTTTAAATAATAAAATTTTTCATAAGTTGACAACACTTTTTTCAAAAATTCCACCTCAAACTTTGTTTTCTCATTTATAGAATAATCAGTCAAGTTATAAACATAATTTCTCCACTTAAATATCATATTTTTTTATAAAAGCTTTTTTTTCTCACTAAGAATTAAGAGACCACATATGTATTTTCTCTATTTAATAAATGAAGAGCTTTTAAAAAAATTCCCCAATATTCAGCTTTGTTTTTTTTTTAAATTTTACCACAATGACGCAATATAATGCACGGAATTTAAATTGTAAACAATTTTCTATATTATTTTCAATATTTTGCTTTTTCCGTTTCCATATAGTAATATTTTTGTTTACATTTTTCATTCTCCCTTTTCACATTTTCTACTCATGTGTTTGTTTTGTATTGTGTATGTGTTATGAATTTTAAAAGTAAGAAATAAAGCGCAACTGTATGCAAACAAAAAAAAAATTTCACCATACAGTTAATATCATATGATTTTTGTTGTGTGGTGAATATAAAATAATTAAATTTCAATATTATAGGAAAGAGAAGGATAGAGAATAAGAACCTATTTAGTATTTTTTTTTTGTGTTTATGTTGAAAAAAAAATACAAAATCAACAATTTCATCAATTTATATTGTATTGTTATATTCTCATACATGCCTAAAGGTTTAGGTATTTGTGTGTGTATATGTGATCAACTATTATTGTATATAGATTAGTGTTATATTAGAGTAAACAAAAATTTCGTTTCAACAATAAAAACATATTAAATTTTACACATTCAAGCAGTAACAATTCATAAAGAGGTTCTTACAAAAATGTAATTATAATATTGTTGTATTATTTGTATAGAGTAGTTGTAAAAAAAATTTTAATTCTTGCGGCGCAATTCCAATTCAACTGTTATATCCAATTTGAATTTGATTATAGTTCATTCATGCTTTACAAAATAATATAACCAATACATAAAACAAATAATATACTATGAATATATTATATTGGTGTATATAAGAGTAAAGTATTATACTGAATTTAATATAGGAATAAAAGTGACAGAAACAAAAATGAATAATAATAATAATAAGAAAAAAATGAGAGAAAAGTCAACAATAACAGCATGTGAACGAAAAGTTTTGTTATTTTTAAAAATTCGACTTTTTTGATTTTTGTTGTTTTTCTTTCTTTTAAAGTTGAGTTTCTTTTTTATAATAATTGACTGTTATGTGTTGTGGAGTGTATCATAAACGAGTATGGATGGAGTGGAGTTAATTGAGAGCTGCTGCTGTTGCAGTTGAATAAAGATTTTATCCGTTTGTTAGTATTATATTATATTGTAGAATGTTTGTTGATGAGGTAAGGTAGGTAATATGAAATGAATGTAATGGGTATGGTAGATTTTGTATAATAATAATAAAAATGAGAAAAAAAAATAAATAAATAAAACGAAAACAAATAAGAAAATATGGAAGAAAGAAGAGGGAAAATGATAATAAAGAAAGAATGAAAGATAGAGAAGGGTGGAATTTCATTCGATTGAATTCGGATTTTTCGATTTTTATTCTGTTCTGTTTTTTTTTGATTTTATTGTAATTTTTGTAGTACGTACTTTTTGGCAGATGGTTTTACTGTTTTTAATTTTAGTCTTTTTCGACTTGTACCGGCTGCCGTATCGTGTGTTTTAGTTGTGGATAAAATAAAAATTGTAGACGGAAAAAATTTTTTTTTTATAATTTTTTTTTTTTGTGTTTCCTTGTTTAGTGTTGTGTTTTTTGTTACGAATTTAATAGTTTTTTACCCTATAATTATTTGTTTTCTTTTCGAAAATATTTTAATTTTTTATTTAGATTTTTTTTTGTTGTTTTGGTACCTTTTAGAAAATAATGTTTACTGTTTTGTTTTAATAATTTACCTTTACTTTGATGTTATATTTTTGTTCGGAGTTTTTGTCAAAATTTTTAAATAAATTAGAATCTTCTATTTTCAAAAGATATTTGAGTCTTGTAATAAATTTAAGTAGTTTGTATACAGCCTCTACTGTACTATAATTATAATCATTAGAATTTAAGAATATTTTATGAATATCTTTTGGAAATATTTACATTTTATTACTTAAAATTTCTCTCCATCTCTTTCATTCTATAATTTGGTTATTCTATTTGTTTTATGTTTTTGTTTCCAGAAATTGTAAAAGAAAATAATGAATGAAAATTTCGTGTTAGAATATAATAGTGTAATAAATAACGGAAGTATTGCCGTAATTTAAATACTTCCGTTTAATAATACTTATATAAATATTGTATAAGTACGTACGTAAGTACGTATACGTATTTGTAATAAATTACGGGAACATAAGTATAAAATATGCATGTAAATAATTTTGTAATATTTATATAATATACATGCCTACCTAAATATATGTATATGTAAATAATGTGTGCATAATATAATAAGTGTACACGTATTTTGTAAAAGTGTTTAAAAAAAAAAAATTATATAAAATGCAGTGTTTTTATAAAATATATAAAATAAAATGAATTTTTAAACATAACAGCAGCCGCAGTAACCCCCTTTTTTTCATTCATTCGATATATTAAATGCATACAAATGTGCATGTACATACGTCTGTGTGTACTTTAAATTTATATAGAAAAGAAAATTTAAAATCGATTTTTAATTTAGAAATAAAAAAAATCAAATAAATTTTTTAAAATAATTTTCTTATTTAAATTGATTTTAAAGAATAAAATTTAATTGTAGTATACATGGAATATAAAAAAATATGAAATCAATAAATTTATTATGCATTTATTAAATTTTCTAATCAATAATAATAATTGTCTGTGGTTTTAAGGAAAAACTGTTCAAGATGAAAAAACTTTAGATTTAATTTAAAACAAAAATTTTCTGAACTAGTAACTTGGGCTTAGGCTAAATACTTGATTTTTTTTACATTTTCGGTCATAATTTCGGGAGTAATTTAGATACGAACTGATAGAGAATTTTATATTTTATTTAATAGAGATTACGATATTAGAATTTGGAATTCGATATAAAATGAAAATTTTCAAAAAATTGTCTTAAATAACTTTGGTTACAATTGAAAAATTGCTTATTTTATTAATAGTACCATTGTTATATTTACAAAAATTTTCTTTTGTATAACACTATAAATGCAATAGTACTATACACACAATGGTGGTACTTATAATAATTTTTGAAACTGTATTTAAAAATTAAAATTAAAAGAAAAATTTTTACTAAATTCAATTAAATACAAACAAAATTTTTATTGAATTCAAAATAAATTAGAAAAATTGAAAAAGAATTAACTGGAGTTTAGAAATTTTTTGCCTGTTACCACAGAATTTTATGTGCATTATTAGAAAATTGTCATTTATTAAAAATATCAAAAATTTTGAGAGTGCTTTTTTTACACTTACAAACAATTTAATGTCTTAAGTACCTATATATGTGTTTTTTATTTCTAAATTAAATCATTATCGGTATACAATATAAATTGTGTAAATGATACCCTCTTAAGACCCCTATATATAATTATTGTATAACCATACGAGTATAAATGCATATTATATGCTTTGAAACAGGCTTAAAATCACTTACTTTTAACACATAATACTCACTTTTGAATTTTATTCTTGATATACTTACTCTATCAGAAGTTACACAAGTATAATAAAATAAAGATGAGTTAAAAATGCATATAAAATTGTAATTTCAATTTTTTTATAGATTATTTATTTATTGATGAGAGAATTTTTTTTTCTATTCATTAAAAATTGAAATAAAATTATTTATACATCTACGAATTGTGTATGTACGTGCATATTGTGTATGCATAGAACAGAAAATTTGATTATAACAGTTTTCAATTTTTTGGTTTTGTTTTAATTAAGAAATTTTTATAAAATGTTTTAATAATTGTAATTTATTATCATTTAATGTAAAATTATATATACAAAAAAAAATTAAAGAGAAAAAATAAATTAGTAAGAAAAGAAAGTGAAATAAAAAATATTTTTATAAATAAGTAATTAAATCTGAGCGTATCAGAAAGGGAAAGAAAATAATAAATAATAATATTAATAATAATAATAAATAACGAAGAGAAAAGAATATAAGTAATAATTATCAATAAAATAAGTAATTATGTAATATATATTAAAAAAAAAAGAAAGTAAAAAGTAAGAAAGAAAAAGAGAGAGAGAGCAAAGCTGAATAATAATAGAAAAAAAATTTTAAATATAAAATTAAATTTGTTGTATATTGGTTTATTGTAATTGTAAAAGAATAATTAATCAAGATAATACTAATAATATAGAGAAAAATAATAATTATAATACAAAAAATTTTAATTAAAATAATTAAAAAAAGTTGAATGTATTTACTATTAATAGTAATTTTTTAAATATAGAAATTAATTCAATAAGAGCTTGAAAGTTTTCATTACAAATCATTTACCTTAAAATTAAAAAAAAAAAACAAATCACTTGTATAACACTTTGGATAAAATATAAATTTTATTAAATATATAAGAATAAAAAATTTATAAAATATTTATGGAGTATACCAAATTATATTAGGTAAATTCAAAAATTTTTTTTTAAATACAATTTATTTTGTTAATTTTATTTATAAAATTTTATTCTTAAAGATTAGCAGAGATTTTACATTCTTTGAGTTCAATCGAATGATTCTTTAATTAGATATTAATTTTCTTACAAAAATTATTAAATTATATTGTGGTATAGGAGGTTATAGACCATAATTTTATATATACAATTCAAAATAGCAACTAGAAGCTTTTATTTGTACTAAATTAGAAATTCTACTAAATTTTGTACTATATTTCGCCTAGGAGTAATGTTGTGTATTGAATGTGCTCATTATAACATATATGTAGCATGAAGCAAAATGTTTTTTTTAATATTCGAATTAGATCTATTCAAAATTTAATGGAAATTTCGATAAATTTGAAATTATTTGAATAAAATATATCATAAAAATATTTAGGAATTTTATTAAATATGAATAACTTCACATTATACCTGTTTATAATAAGTAAATCAATTTTGAAACTTACGTAATATTGTGTGGCTTGGTAGCTCAGTTCTTTAATAGAAATCAGCTCGTACTTAAACAAATCGATCACATTTCTAACTATAGTTTTTTAGTTATAGTTTGAAATTCTTCGATCTTTTTGTTTGTAACTCTTGTAAATCTCTATTTTTTAAGGTATACTAATAAGTATTCCAGTTTATAAATGAGTTTAATATTATTTTATTTGAATAGAGTTGATTTATTTGAATGGAACGTTACTGACTACTTATATTTTTAATTTTTTGTTTGTTTTTTTCTAAATATTCAGTAATTTCAGTAAATGACACGAATAATTCAATTTCATTTCTATGAGTATGCACAGTCATTTAAAATACATATTTGGGGAATTTTAATAATAATGGGGAAAATCCCTGAAAAAATATATACAATTTATATAAATGTAGATATGCCAATCTCTTATATCAAATTTATGTTTAGTTTTTATTTTGTGTAATAAATCATGAATATAACAATATTATTTTAAATGTTTTTATAAATAGCGGTCAATTTCTTGCAATATATTAAACTTTTTCAATATACTAACCAGTGCGTTTATATGCTTTCAGTTTAAAGTTATCGACAAACAGTTTTCTCATTTATTGGCAAATTATTTGCAATTTTCCCTATGTTGATAAGTATTAAGAAACGCAGTTGGTTATTTTAAGTTTAACTGATAAAGAAAAGAAATTAAATTTTTTTTGAAATATAAAATCACTGATTTCTTTAGAAATTTCGAATATAAAATATGTAAATACCAAATTTTAGTAAATTTGCTCGGCATATTTAAATGCAAGACTTGTTCTACATCACTGATTATACAATTGAATATTTGAACTGTATACTTTGAAATTTATAAACACATATCTAAATTAATTTTTCACGTTTTCGTCTCAATTGTTTAAATTTTGCTTTTTATAATATCATTCTCTCTAGAGTCTAGTAGTGTAAGAATAAAAATATGATAATGTGAATTTCTCATGCTATTTTGCAAAAATTAATTTCACTTTTTAAAATATTTCTATATTATCGTATATTGCAAGTAATTAAATTAAAAAATTTATACATTCCAAAAGAATTCTTATGTGCATAATATTGTCCAGACAATATTAATTATTTTTATATTATTGCTAGCGCAATTTAAAGAAATTTTCCAGTTCAAAATTCTTGTTTCATTTCTATAACTATTATACACATTTTGTATATGATATATAAATTGCGTGTATATATATTTGTGTAAGTATATATGTGTTATATATTATGAATATCTATATTGTAAAAAAATTTTTAAAATCTTCAATGACATTGAAAAATTTTTCTTATTTGAACTTTTAAAACTTTCATCTATCTCTATCCACTTGGTATACCATAATTATTATTATAGAAATAAATTTTTCCATGTCTTGTTTTGTAAACAACGTATAATGTATAACTAGTTATTTATTTATTGTTTATATTTGTATGTCATATACTTACATATGTACATAGTTTGTTTTTATTAAATAATTGTATAAATAAAAAAAAACTTGCTAATTATTAGTAATTTTATAAATTGATATAGAAAATTAAAATAAATTGTTTAAAAAAATTTATTTAATTTTATATAATAAAATAATGTTAGTAATATGTTACAAATTTTAAAATTCAATAGAATTTTAATTATCTATAAATAAATTTTTATTATAATGCTTTATATTGAAGATATAAAGAGTTTAAGCCAATAATCTTTGTAACATATGTGCATAAATTATGCTTAAAATTGATATTCATTGATATTGTTATACAATTAAACCAATTATATAGTGTTGAAATAATTGAAAATACTTGTTTATATAAAATTATAAACCTTGAACTTGAAATTATAATCTTAAATAAATGTATATTTCAAATTTTTAGTTAAAAATTTTGTTAAGCGAATACATAAACTAGTGATTGCAATCATTACATACCCTCTTCCCTCACTTACCCTATAACTGCAGCACTTGAACACGAAAATGTAATTTTTAAAAGAGTATATTACTGACGTAATATAAAGGAAAGGGAGGACGGTGATCTTAACCTCAGTCAGTTGATTTTGTTATCAGGTATTTGGATTTAGTTATTATATGCACAAACCAGGAGTGAAGAGGAAGGCAGCCATATTCAGGACAGACCAAGTGTTTGATTAAAAACAACTTGTCTTATACCTAAGTGAGTGTACTCTTTCTGTTCTTTAAAAAATATTCGGCAGGTCTTTGGTCTTCTCTTCAACATTGATCCCGTCACTGAGCTGTTCTTCATATTTAATATTAAATTTAGAAAATTATTTTATTTATACCTTTTGATATTAACTATAAATTTCTATCAATTTTGTTATTATCATTACATTACTAGTTTCGATAATTTATAGGAAATTTTGTATTTTATCCAAAAAGAAAAAATCTAATTTGTCAGCTTGTTTAATCTTGAAATCATTCAACTATTATTCCCTACATTGTATCTCAAATTTCTTTAAATAAGCATATAAATATAGTTGTCTCATACAATAATCAACTCGTTAAGTATTTCACGTGTTTAAAAAGCCCATTTTTAATTAAGTTGTTTATAATGTTGTATATAAATAAAAATCAGTTTCACATGTCATTTAATGTGCTTTTAAAATGTTGAAATGTGATCTAGTTCTTGAGTATAATATGACATTAAGTAAATTATATATATAGTTATTTTATTTTGATTATACGTTCTATATAAAAAAATTCTTCTTTCTATTTATTCTTAATATATAGTGGAAAATCTCTTTTGAAATTTTATGCAGGCTATTCATTCTTCAACACTTCTTTAATTGATATAATCTGTAAAATAAACAAAAATATACCGCTAAAGACCACAAAAGAAAATTGGAATAGAAATTCGATTGTAAAAAACGAAAATAAAATAAATTTTTCCTTTTTTTGTTATTTTTGTTTTTTTTAATCTCTTAATCGATTGAAATTCTTAAAAGACATCAATGAAATTTTAAAAATACCAACAAAAATAAATAATAACATAATCGATTACAAAAGCCGCGGTAGCAAAAAAAAGGTTTTATTTCACTTCTCTATAACAATCGTAATTCTCTCGTATTTTCTATAGTATTTACACGCGTAATATACATGAGAATATTCGGATATATACATACATATTTAAATTTTAATGATAAATAAATAAAATTTTAAATAATAAATTTTTGAATATTGAAAATAAGCATATATACTTACAATGGGTGATTTTTGGAGTGCTAGATTCAAGAATTTATAGAGAGACTCAGAAAAATTGTATATTTGAATGTAATTGTTACTTGAGTCGATAAATAATCATTGTAAGCTCTTGTAAATATTGGCTGCTATTACGGTTTAGGCGATCTCTTCGAAGGATTCATATTTCATTCACTTCTTTTTATGCATATTTTCGCTAAAATAATACAAAACACTTGCCTGATACTGTTTATAAATCTGCAATTAATACCATCCATTCGATGAGAACAAGTGATTTTAAGCATTCCCAAAGAAAATTGACAGTGCGACCAATTGACAGATTAATAATATCACTCAAGTCAATTAACTCTAAATTTCCATTAATTTTATTAAGTCAATAGGTTAAATCTTCTGTTCGGGCGCCACTCTCTATTACGAAATAAAAGAGAAAATTGAGTAAATTTGACATTGACAACTCTAGCGATTACATTGTCAGTGTCAAAAATAAAAATATGAAGAACAAAATAATAAAAACAAAAAATCACCCTGTGTATGAAATAAGTTTCAATATATTCAGCTGATTATTGATGGGAATTTTTTATATATATTCAAATATCAAAATCAATATTATGCTTATTATTATTATATAAGTAAGCTAGAATTATGTATTTATTAATTTGAATAAGTATTTAATATGTATATGCATAATATGAATATGTGAACATGTGTTTAATCTGTTATCTAATCTCATTTAATACCCAAATTTGTGTTTGTATAAAAATATAAGACTTTAAATGTGTGCATATAAATTATAGTACTAATTTCTAATTTAAGAGAGATTGGAAGAGATTTGTTTAATTAAAGATATATAGCAATTTAAAGGTTAAATATCTCTTTTTTTTCTCTATAGAATTTTTGAATAGTAATTTTTGTGAAGATTTGTTTGTTTGTCGATTTTAAAGTAAGAAGCTTTTTAAAATCTGAATATCTATTGATTGTTTTGAAATATTTTTAAAGAATTCTTTAAAATGTAAGAACTCGTTTTTGGGAAATAAAGAGTTGTTTGCTGTGAATTTAATAATTTCTTCTATACAAGTTATTTATAAGCAATATTTTATTGATTTTGCCAATAGCGGAAATATTGCAAATATTGAATCGTATGTATATACATAACTTAAGATTTATAATAATGAGTTGTTAGAACTTTACAAGTTCAATTACCTATTGATTTTAGTTCAATTACTGCTTCCATCATTTC